ACATGTTACAGAACCCAAATTTTATTGGTTTGCAATTAAATTATTCTATTTTTAATTAATTAACACAAAAACAAATATTTGCCTTTTTTGCAAATTTAATATTTACCATATCAGCTAATTGAAAAAGTCCCCCAATTTTTTTGGGGATCATTTTTAAGTTCATATTCCGAAATCATAAAATTTATCAATTAATTCAATAAATATTCAATTAATAAAAATAATCGATATTAGTAATTTATTATCTTTATTTATTTCAAATGAGTCAACAAATTAAAAAAAGAACAGAAATTCATAATTACCCTAAGAAATCTGTTATTGAATATTCAGAAACTGGGCGAAGTTATACTTATAATATTATTAAAGAAGGTCAATATCCGCCTGCTATTTATCTTAAATATACACAGCGCAAAAATGGATTTCGAATTCCTGATGATTATGAAGTTGAGTCAAGTTGGGAAAAGTCTAATACAAAACATTTAGTTAAATGTATTATCGAATATATAGACAAGAACCCTATTTATTATATATATTACGGACACAAGTATCAATTCTATGTAAAATCTGAAAAATCATGTTCAGATGCGGCAAATTTATATTCTAAGGTATAATAAAACTTATTACTAATTAATAATTTAATAATAGTTTAATGTTAAAAACTTATTAAAATTATATTATTTTATAATAGGCTTTAAATCCAATGACAAAAACTCGTTATTCAGGTCCACAAATATTTGGTCTTCAATTAGAAATACTTCAACAAATAAGAGATAATAAAAGACAAATAACAGTCTTAAAATCATTTGATAATTTAACCTCAACTGGACAAAATAATCGAGCTAAAAAAATTGCAAGCTCTATACATACAGTATTTGATCAAGTAGCAAATAAGAATTGTCATCCGGAAGATGAATCTATACTAAAATCAATTGAATTTGATATTAATAATAAATCATTTTACTTTGATGTTAATGAAAAGAGTAATGATGACAATAAATATAAAGCAAGAGCAGCTGTTAAAGCTTGTGATAAAAGCCAAATTACACGTGAAGGGTATCGTACTTTAGCTTCAATTAGCTTTGATTTGCCACGTGAATGGAAAGTATCATTAGAAAGAAAAGATATTACTGATGAAATAAATAAAGCTATACCTATTTCAACTATTAATTTAGTATCATCATTATTAGATGACTCTATAAATTCTGAAATTCATATTAATGATACAGAAATAATTAATAATATGCAATTAGTAATTGGAAAAGGTGGAAGACGAAGTATTGTTGATATTTTAAAATATCTTATACCAAGTCTTGTTGAAAAGAAAATATTAGTTATAACAAACCCTATAATATATTTAAGAATATCTGGAGACGGAAGAAATGTTGGAAAAAAGATAAAGCATGTAATGCTTACTTTTTTAATTCTTAATGATAAAGACAAATTGCAACAGCCTGAAAGTCATTATACTACAATTTTATATTCCGGTAATGAAAAATATGAAACATTATATATTGCACTAGAGTATCTAATTGTAGAATTAAAAAAGTTAAAAGAAAATGGATTAAATGATAATCAGGGTATAAAATGGAAAATAGAACTTTATTTTTCATCCGATTGGAAATTTCTTGCAACTTGTTTAGGAATGAATGCAGCAAATAGTAGATATTTTTGTCCATGGTGTGAAATCTCTAAAGAACAACAGGGTAATTTTTCGTATAAATGGACAATTAGCAAAACTATGGATCAAATTTGTACAAATTATAAATTTTATAAAGGCCATATTAGGCCAGCACTTTTTAATATGATACCTTTACAAAATTGGGTTTCTGACGAACTGCATATAATGTTACGTATTACTGATGTTCTTTGGCGATTAGTAATTGATGAGCTTAAGTCAAGAAATACTTGGGGAAATAAAGCAAGAGATGTAATAGTTGAAGAAATGAAACATATAGGTGTCAAATATCATTTCTGGCTTGAATCAAATCATTGGCAAAATACTTCATTAATAGGGCAAGATAAATTGACTGTATTACAACATTTTAATTTAAGTAAATTATTTCCATATTCTCGAGCAACTCAAATTTGAAATTTGTGGAACAACTTTTATTTGCTTTATAAAGCAATAAAAGATCCCAATACTAATGCGATACAATTTTCTAAAGATGCACGAAAATGGTTATATCAGTTTTTAGAATCAGATTTTTATCAAACAAGTGATATAACACCATATATACACGTATTAGTGTATCATGTTCCAGAACTAATGCATATTCATCATAAATTTGGCTTAGCAGCATTTTCTTGCTTAGCCGTAGAAAAGAAGAATCATCAACAAGTTTCTTATTTTTTTAAAAAAACAACAAAAGATGGTAGAAAAGGAAATAAATCAGCAATTATAAATATTCTTGAACATGAGAATAGAACTTTATATTTTAATTGCAATGAAATTAACTTAATTTCAACACCAAAGCGATTGCGTATTTAAATAAGCTTAGATATTAAATATATTAAATTTAAAGCAAACAATATTACTAGATTTATTAATTATAATAATAAGTATATACAAATATGCTAAAACATTGCTTTATTATAAATAATAATAATTAAAAACATTCTGTAATCTTTGTGCGTGTAATAATAAAATTCATAAAAATAAATCCTGATGAATAAGTAATACTACGTGCATCAGACTTTACTTTTTTTTTCCACCCAATAATAAATTGAACAGGTTTTGGTTTATACCATTTTTTTTTTGATACTAGCATTTGATTTTGAAAAGAATTAGATTAATAAAAAAATTTAACTCTTGAAGTGATTCAGATTATTGAAATAATTAGATTTACATGAAGAATTTAACTTTTGAAGTGAATTAGATCCTTGAAATAAATTAAATTTTTTTAAAAAAATTAGAAAATTAAACTCTTAAAAAAATTAAAATTCTAACTTTAATATAATTGCTATTACCTTGCAAATAATTAGAATCTTGAATAAGATTAATTTGTGAAAAAGAACTAATATTTTGTAATAAGTTTGGCTCTTGTAAATCAGATTCTTGAAAAGAGTTGAATTTTTGAAAAGAACTTGATTTTTGAAAAGGATCAGACTCTTGAAGAGGATTAGATTCTTGAAGAGGATCGAATTCTTGAAGAGGATCAGTTTCTTGAAGAGGATCGAATTCTTGAAAAGAATCAGATCCTTGAAGAGGATTAGATTCTTGAAGAAGATTGGATTCTTGAAGAGAATTAGATTTTTGAAGAGGATCAAATTCATTTAAACTTGATGGCAATTGGTATAATAAAACAGATGTTTTTTGATGTTGCAAAAAGTATTTAATATCCCAATTATCATCTCTTAATATTTGAGATAAAATAAAATAAGAATCAACGCCTTTAAATATACACTTATAACCACCCGTTTTTGAATAATAATTATGTATATATTCTTTAAAGACACCAAAAAACTGACTCTCTGTACAATTAATTATAATATGAACATTTCTGGCATATCTTGAATGTTGCTTTAGTCTTTCTTTTATATGATAAACTAACATTTTACGTGTTTCTTCAATGGCCTCTTCAGGCAAATCATACACAGTTGATCTCATAATATTAGCGTCTTGAATTAATTGTTCGTGCTTAGCTAAGCTTGAAGGTCGTTTATAGGTTTTTTTACATAATTTAAACTCTAAGTTGCTCTGAGGTATGTTTAAAGTTGACATTGTTAGAATTGACGATGTTAAAAATTAAACAGTGTAAATTACAATAAAAAAGCTATTTTCAAGCATAATAACAAATATATTATTAAACTCAGTCGCTTACTCTACAAATAACTGATGGGTTCTTTATACAACTGATAGGTTACTAAGTTTCTTCGTATTGAAATTTTCGGAACTTCAAATGATCTAGTGACCAAAAATCATTTACTAAGCCACTATATCTTATCATCATGTATGATCACATTACACGCAACAAAAATTTAGTGACATAAATTTAGGCCCAATTTTTTCAATCCGCAGATATGCTTTTTTGTAAATATTTAATACAACACGAACTAATTTTTGCACCAATTATTTTTACGTCACACATACTACCTGTGTATCATATACCCGTGTAATACAAGATGACTACCCTGTGATTATTTGTCACACCTGCTTATTTGTTACACCTTGCTTATTTGTCACACTATGCTTATCTGTCACACCCCTGCTTATCTATCACACCCTGCTTATCTGTCACAACCTTTAACTACTTCATATACCCCAATAAATATATTTCTAACTCCCAATATATCCCCACTAGCAAGCCTAATACAGCCCCAACATGTCTACTACTATCCATTCTCAACCTGATACAATCGATTTAGATGTATTCTATGCCCAATACCCATCTCATTTCGGAATCTGGATCTATGACGATAAACCGCATACTAGCAGACCTACCCCTGCTAGCGTCAAACCAATACAATGTTTTATCCATCTTCGCAATAGCAGCGACAAAGCTACACACTTCTTTAAAGCTCTAGCCTCTACTGCCAAAGTGGCTTGCTTCTTCAAAAAATTTCATACACACTTTATCTCATCAACTAATACAACACATACTTCAAACGAGCAAAATTTATCTGCCATTACCACTAATCATGCCCGTAAAAATCTTAATAAAAAACTTCAACAAATTACTGACTTTGTTCCCCCCTCTCCCTCCAAAACACAACAAGAAATTTTAACTGACTGTACACATCCCTGTACTAAATGTCAACAGACCATAGAATGCAAATACTCTTCCCAAAAAACCCGGCACTATCTACACGAAAATGCAACCTACTTCATGGATAATATCTATCATAAATTATGCTTACCTTCTAATAATACCCTCCAACCGCTCACCCCAACTCAAAAACAACCTGCAACACCTACCCATCAACACAAACCAAAACTTGCATCTTCTTTTTTGAACCAACCACCAATTAGTTCAACTACCTCTTCCAACCAACCATCTACTAACCCAACTCAGTTCAAACCTGTTCAACTTTCTAACCCAACCCAACCACCATTTCAACTTTCAACCTCTCAACAAAATCCTTCTACACCCCAATCTAAACAACAAACTCTTTCTACAACTTCCCCTATTTCTTTCTTTTTTAACCCACCTGCACCCGAACCAATCCAACCTCAAGTAATCTCTCACCCTTCCAACCCGGTTTTATACAACCAACCTACTACCAACCTAACCCAAACCCAACCATTATCTTCTCAACCTTTTGATCTAACCCAACAACTACTATAATCTCTAGCCTCTACTCCAAACTCTCAAGCACCTACACAACAACTTAAACAACAACCATTCTCTACTAATCCTCCCATCTCCTTCTTCTTTAACTTCTCTACTTCTAGTTCTACTCAACTTCAACCTAACCAACAACCACCTCATCCAACATCTACTACTAATTTAACTTCTA